TCTAGATAAAATAAATGCTACGTAATTATAGTACTTAGTACAAAATTAAATTACAATCCCTATGGGTTCGACACTCTTAACTATATTACTATATTACAAAACTTGATGCCGTACACTTGTTGCATAATCACGTTATAGAAAAAGCGTGACAGTTGTTTTAGTTAGTATTATAGTGGCATTATGTCTAAAATTTGCATGTATTATTCACTCATTTAGTAAGACACAACACATTAACTAGTTGAAGTTTCTTGAGGCAAGCTATTAGACTCAGTTTGATAGTACAAGTGATTCCAGCATAGAAATATAAGGCTCCAAAATGTGTTTGTCATATTCACAGCAGCACGACTATTATCAAATGTACAATTCTCAACCTACCCTTAAGATTGTGAGGCTTTGTGATAAATGTATGTTATACACTTATTTCAGGTCTAAAATAGGGATATTTGATAGTTCTTCTGACAAAATATATCATAAATTGTTATATTTTATGTTATATAGGTAAAATTCAATGGTTGAACAAGGAATTGAAAGAAAGGAGTGAAAATTGGTTAAAAAAAAAAGGCAAAATCCAAAATTTAATGACCAAATTGCAAATTTAATAGTTGATTCGGATCACAAGATGATACTTTAAAGATTTCTAGAAGACAATTGGATGGAATTAGAACTCAAAAAGGAATGGAATATGATTAAAATCTATTTCAATTGCACAAGTTATATTCCAGATTTTTGGNATGGAATATGATTAAAATCAATTTCAATTGCACAAGTTATATTCCAGATTTTTGGTCGAGGATTGAGACCCATTTTTGGTATAGTAAATGTCCAAATTAGGAAAACTCTATTTCTATAAAACTTGTAGCCCTTTGAGTTAGAGTTCTAACGCACTTTGAATTGCATCAATTAGACATCGGGAGAGAAAACTTTGGACAAAATACAGAATACTGTGCAAAGACAAAAATCTGCGCGAGAAGATAACTTTCCTTATTCGATTGGAAGTCAATTTGGACGTGATTTTTAACCAATTTTCGACTCCTACAAATACTTAATGAAAGTTATTAGGTGGTCTATAGTAGACATTAGAGAGGTTAGTCCATCGATATGCATGCACAAAATCTTGATGGAAGAAGAGTATAAGCCCGTGGTGGAAAATCAGCGCTAATTGAATCCCACCATGAAGGACATCGTGCGAACAGAGGTATTAANAACTAAAGATTTTCACAAAATTAATTACTCAAAATTTTTTCAAGAGTTTAATGCTTTTGATCTTCTTAAAGATGGAGAGTAGGGTAGTTGTGATCAATAAAAGCCTCACTTTTATGTTTAAGAATTATTAATGCAAGTGAAGGAATAGTGATGTATTTATAGCATACAAACGGTCAAAAATTATGTCGTACCGGACGCACTATACCGGACGTATGGTAAAATATCGAATGATCAATTAGCCGTTGTTTTTGTCAGAAAATTGGACCGTTTGAAAAATGACCGTCGGAGCCATTTTTGGCCATACCGGACGTCGGATATGCGTACCGGACGTCGGGTACGCCATTTTTGCTCAGAACGTCCTCGTTTCTAAATCTTGTCAAATGCAAGTGTTTGAGGGACGTTTAAAATGTTTTTCAAAGTGTTTGTCATATTTAAAATATGTGTTACGATTTTTCTTTTGAAAAACATAATTTTCAAGTGAAACATTTTTATCGTGATTCGTAAAATCAAAATTTTGAGCTTGTCACGATTCATTACC